AAGATTACCCTCAGGTAAACTGGGACACAGAGAATATAGGAAGCCGACGATACCTCAACAAGGAATCCAATCACCATCCTAGGCAAAAGAGAGGAGTCATTAAAACTCTATCTGATTGGGCAATCCGGATTTGGGAACCCAGATACCTGTAGGACAAGATGCAACACCTAAAATCAGCACTTGAAGGAAATGGGTACTCTAAGCAGGAGATAAATAGAGCTATAAGACCGAAGCAACAGTGCACAAATAACAATGAACCAGCACAGGTGGCAGGGAGAGCCTTTCTTCCCTACATCAAAAATGTCACAGATCGCATAGGACGAACGCTAGAAAGACACAACAATAAGCCTATTTACAAGCCCATAAGAACAATTCAGCAAAGTCCAAGATCGGCCAAGGATCCTAGGGCACCTCTTGAAACGGCTGGCGTTTACAGAATTCCCTGCTTCTGTGGATCTATCTATGTAGGAACAACCAAACGCTTTATCAACACCAGGGTCAAAGAACGCAAAAGAAAGCAGGGACAAAAAGTTAGATCAGCAATCGCCGAACACGTGTTAACACAAACAAACCATGTCATTCGTTTCGACCAGACTCAAGCATTGGATAGAACGAAACATTTTCACACCAAACTCCACAGAGAAGCCATAGAGATACAGAAACACCACAACAACTTCAACAGGAAAGAAGAGGGCATGAACGTCAACAAAAGCTAGTTGCCAGTTCTCCGAAAAACAAAGACCCTTCCTTTCCGAGAACGAGACAAGGAAAATAGCGTGATACAAGCCACGCCCACAACCCTGGATATAAATAACGCAGGTCCAACATCGTCGAATCCAGTCATCGGAGGAACACGGAAGAGAACACTTCGTCCTATACCACACTGCCTCTGACGATTTGAGTAAAACCACAAAAATTACGAATAAAAGTATGTAGGTAGGTACTCAAGAGTGGGGATTCTTTGGAAGATCTATATAGACTGCTGAACTTATTTACATTTATATTATATTGTTAGCAAGTTTATAGGTAAATCACTTTTGTAGAGCGCCGTTGCTCGTAGAATTGTCTAGATAATTAGCTTCCGTTCGTACGCTAGAATTTTATTCGCGTTATCTAGTCATTAAGCTATGTTGCAAAGTTAATAATTTAAGGATATAATTACTAGGAACCTAAAAATCACTACAATAGTCAAATAAAGAACAAAACATAGAAATACAATAAAACACATGAACAGAATGTAAAGCACAAGATGAAACAATGGTAAACACAATTTAGATCAAGTACATCGTAAAACAACATTAACATTATAAAATTATTGTAAAAAATACATGCAAATAACACTAATATGCTAGTCAATGCTCAATACCAATGATAATAAGAACTTCTTAGCTCTTCTCCTGAATCACAAATAGTTGTTCAGTCCTCTAACCTCCAAAGGTATAGTCTGGCAAGTGGTGACTTGGTAGAGATGAAAGGATTTTAGTGCGGTGCTAGTGCGGTGTTCGTGTAGTGCAGGGTTATATCACGTGATAAAGGTATAATCGGCGGTATAACACCGAATACACCATCATTTTGTACCGCATAAACGATGTCCTACCATCTTAGACCATTCGGGCACCAAATTATTTCCAAACGCAAATAAAGTGTACACCAAATTTACTCATACCAATTAACGAACGCCACAGTGTCAATAGTGTAAGAAGTGTCGAAACTTTCTACCATTCCGAACTCACCTTGAGACACCTCAACTAACATCGCCTGATGACACCATCTCTTTGGGTTCAGTGGCACCGAAAACACCAAGGCAATAAACCAATAAAATTATAAGAAAAAAAATCTTTAGTTTCGCCAATAACCACGACACTGTGATGTCGATCAGTCTCTAACCAATAGAATCATACCTCTGAATAATCCCTTCACATTTCATTGCTCAACATTCATCATTTCGCAATGTTGCCGGATTTTTTGCTATTTCAAAATAACTCGTGCCCATATTGAAAAAAAAAAAAATATGTCACCAACTTGTTTATTATTGTTTCCGTCAAGTTTGGCAAAAACAGCAAATTCTATTGCAGTTCGCCATTTGGCTAGCCAGACTATAGATGGTTGAAATTTTTTTTTGTACCATGAAATATAGATTTTTTCATCAAGGCAGATGAGGGATCAGGAAAATTGATGACATGCAGGCATCGGGTATTTGGCTGATGTCGACCAGACTCCAGAGACCATTGTCTTTATATTTTCTGAATGCTGAGCACTCTGACTCAAGACTGAAAACGCAGGCCAGTGTAAGAATTATCTAGGTCACAAAATAAGGCTTGCTTGATTGCCTAGGATTAAGCCCACATAGATACCTCAATGCTCTCTTTTGGATAACAAAGACCTGACGGAAAAGGTATACCGCAGAAGATCCCAAAAACAGATGCCATATCCTAAATGGCTCTCAAAAACAGAAAAATATACGCTTCTGGCAATAATCCTATCCAGCGTGGAATCCACAATAGACCCAAAAATTTCGCCCAGGTCTCCCTTGAAATTCAGAATATTTGTTTTGGTGATATTAAAGCTGGGCTTACTTGATTCACACCAATCCCTAACTCCCAACTCCAACAATGTCACGAAGGTTCGTGGGGTTCCTGAGGTGCCAGATAATGGTAGTGTCATCAGCAAATGATGTAAAATAGCCTTGAGAAATTGAGTGTGGAATGTCATTAACATAGAGGAAGAATAGCAAGGGTTCTAACACTGACCCCAGCAGTCAAGAGACCCACATCAGACTGCTCACCTTGAAACTTTACATGTTGTTGCCCTGTACGATAGGACCCAAACCAGTGCAAAATTGTGCCTCTAAAGCCATAGATGTTGAGTTTCATCAGCAAAACTTCGTGATCAATACGATCGAAGGCCTTCGCTATGTGCGGAGGATGCTTTACAGTTTACCTTCATTTAAGCTGAGATATAGTATTTCCAATAGATCAAAAATTGCTTATCTTGTGGTCTTCGAACACTGAAATCCAAACTAGGGAAGGTGGAAGCAATTGATGATGATCCAAGAAATTCAACATTCTTGTTTTAAGGAAGCTTTCAATCATCTTGCCGATTGTAATGAGTAAGGAGATTAGTCTGTAATTTGATAAGCACTCTTTTTCTCCCGCCTAATAGAATGTTATCACAATTGCCTTTTTCAAGAAAAATGGAAAGTTGCCAGATTGAAAAGAAATATTAATGAAAATATCTTGATAGACAATATGATCAGACCTGCTGGGTTTTTTTTTCAATGCTACGAAAAAAAGACTCCTGTTCCTCAGCTACCACAGGCTCAAGAAGGAAACAGTCCGGCACAGACAGGTGTTGGAGGTATTGCACAGGTTCTCCCCTGTGCTCAACCCCATTAGACAGACATTGCGCTATTGAACACTATACACTTTACGTGTGAATGTCATTAGCTGTGATTTTTGTAGATTTTCTTTGTACTATTTCCAACCAATCAATTCATTAAAATATTTCATCAAAACGCATTTGCACGTGTATTAAAAAAAAAAGCTGTCAATAAGGATATTAATTAAATTCCGTACTTTTTATAGGCAAACTCTCCCATTTCTTACAACACTTTTTTAAGTAGTTAATAGCAATTTACCAATCATTTGTTAGGTGTAGGCTTTTAATTTATTGTAATAATTGCGCATAATATCAGCTCGGTAATTTCTTTGGCACAAATAATTAGATACTTTTTAGCACATTTCTTTGTATTTAATACCTACCTTGGAAATTGTTATTAAAGTATTGTATTTCCGTTCAATTGAGAAAGAAATCCTTATTAAAAACTGCATATATTATTGACGACGTCTGACATTAATAGATTTTCTTACAAAAAAAAAAAATAGTAATGTGTATTAAGGTGAAAAAGTGACAAATTCTCGGCGGACGGTGAAAATTAACGGACGAGGCGCAACCGAGACAAGCACTGAAGTGAGTTTGAGTGAACCCGGAATGCGTGACAATTATTTGCATGATACTGACAAAGACAGAGTTATCATGGGAACCTTGTTCCCAAATTTTGAGAATGGACGTCCTGGCCGTTTTTATTATTGAATTTTGGTGATTATCCATTCGGAGCTAATTTGCCCCATGAAAACTGTGCAACATTTTGCAGTTTGCAAAGAAAACCTCAAACTATCTGCCTTTTCAACAATCAAGAGTCCTCAATAAATGTTTTACCTCTTGAGCGCAATTAATTCCAGCGAATACAAAAGTTAATAATGCGACAATATAAATGCTAAACAAAATTCAAATATCATTTGTCAGTTTTGAAACGATAATTTAACTGGGGTTTGCATTGTCAGCGCTCTCGCCTTTGTTCTAAAGAAGATTCTTGAATGCAGTCAAGAATAACGATCCTATCATATAAACAATAAAAAATTGATTATAATAAGGTGAAATGTTAGTAGGTAGGTATTTGAATATTTTTTTTTCTTGAAAAGTTCAAGGATGATTATTTATCTGCTAAAAACTTCTCACGACGTACTATCATTGTGTAATTGTCCAAATTACTTAAACGGATGTCTTTGAAAAAAAAATTGTTCTGTTTTTTTTTTTAAAGGGCACATCATCGTCCTTCACAGATAAATAAATCTCCTCCTAAATGGGCTAGTTTCAGCATAAGCAGCTCAAATCTCCCAAGTCATCATCAGCGGCAATCCTTTCTAAATCGTGAATGTTACTTGATAAATTTTTTAAAGGAAATATGAATAAAAGGCAACGAAATGCCACACAATCTGACCTGTCGGTGAAGGTCTTTTTTGACAAATTGCTCGTTTCTGCTTTAAGATTTATTGATCGTAAACTTGAACATGTTTCAATCACCTGCTGTTTGTTGGAAGTATTTGGGTAAATGTCAGGTTTTGTAATGGAATATTATTGTGTATTTCAATAAACTATTGGGTTATTGATCTTTTTGAAGTGTGGACCCTTGAAATAACAAATTTCCTTTTTTTTTTTAGGTAAAAGAGGCAGGAGTCTGGATAATATTTGCCCAGTGGGGGACCCTTTGAGAATCAGTGAAACAATTAGACCGTTTTTATGTGGCAACGATGCTGGAAAACCCACTTGTCCGCCAATGTATCAATGTTTAGTACAAAAAGGTAAGTGATAAGTCATTTGAGAATGAAGAAAATTGTGAAAAAAAAGTGCTCCAGTCGCCCTAATGTTATTCCATTTGGGCTGTTTTTTTTTTCTAGAATATAAAAAGAGCACTGTGGTAGTGTCTCGGTCCTTTCTTATTCCTGATCTATGTCAATGATCAATGGAACATTTATATTGTTTAACGAACAAACACCTCGATACCTGAGATGTATCATTGATTTCTTGTCATAATCATAAAACTCAGAAAGCTGATAGAAATCAGAGATTGCTTCAATCATGACGAAGCCGTGACGTGTGATGTAGCTATCAGGGGCGTAGCCAAGAGGGGGGGGCAGGGAGCCCGGGTCCCCCCCAAGGCTTTAGAGAAAAATAGATAAATAATGAAGTAGACAAAAGTTGAGAACTGATCATATCCATATCCTAGAAAGCTCAAAGGATAGTGGGTTTATGTATATTTTAATTCTTTTTCTGCATGGCCCCCCTCAGAGAAAATGTCTGGTTGCGCTACTGGTAGATATCATGCAGATATACGTTTCTATTGAGAACAAATCAGTACATGTTTAGAAATGAAGTTTCAATTAATGATTCTTGTGTTACAACCTTCCCAGACAGCACAGAGACATCTCAAAGACGTCTTTGATATGTAAACAAACGACATTCAAGACTTCTGCTTACGTCTTCAAGGCATCTTGAAGTGACTTGAAAATGTCTTATGTCACAAACCCCAACGTCTTTCAGACTTCTGCCTAAAGACGTCTCCAGATATAATATTTCGTTTATGGCTGTTGAAGGCTCTTTCAATATGCAGATTCCTGGGTTGCAGTTTCACCCTTTTCGATATTCACTTCAGCATAATTTTGAAATATTAATACCTATTTCTTTCACGTCTTGATCGATAATTCTTCCTTGTTATGAACATCTTTATTGAACAGCTCCTTCAACAACAAGACTATTTCCTGTGCTTCTTTGTCCATCAATCAGTATATTGTCTTTCCTTCTGGTGCTTTATTTCGCTGCCTATAGTTCAGAATAGGTTTAATTTCTTTTGCGTCTATTTCCATAATATCCTGTAGGTCCATATTCATAAAAACTTTGTCACGTTTAGACTTCATTAATTTCATTTCATAGAATTTTTCAGCTAATATTTCCACCATTTTTGCTCTGTGAAAAATTACCCCTATTCCATTTCCGATTTCGTATTTTCCTTCCCTTTTTCTTAAGCACTTTGAATAATGAAATTTTCTGTGTTACTCCAATTAATGGCCTCGTAGGTTTCTTGTAGATATGTTTTGATAATTTTCTTTGTTCCTTCAATTAATTAATTAATTAGTTGATAAGAAAAATATTTATGAGCAACAAGAGAATAGATAATTTATAACTAAGAAATATGGATTAACTTAAACAAATTTATTAAAAAAATAAATTGAAGAAGTAGGTAGTCCATCTCTTAAAGTGGAATAGAAATTTAATTAAAAAAAAGACTAGTGTTTTCTTTTTGAATTATTAAAGAATCTACTAAAATCTGTTTTTTTTTAAAGATAAAAGTCAAAATGACATTATATTGGCAATACAATGTAAAATTGTCAATGCTTTCAAATTTTCATGTAGAAAAGGCTTGTGTTGCCAACATAGTTACTAGATTTTTGACTTGGAGAATTATCTTTAAAAAAAAAACAGACTTTACCAGAACTGTCAGGTACTTTAAGAAAAATACTTGAAATTGTATTCCAAGTTCTTATACTTAAGTACTTTACTTGAAGTACAAAAGATAAACGGTACTTATACTTGCTACTTGAACTATTTTCAACAATGTACTTTGCATTGTACTTACTTGATTTCAGCATATATTTTTGCACCCACACCTATATCTCACCTGTTTGAAGAGACACCCAGAAATGTCAAATGTGAAAGTTGTATAGGTAATGTGAGAAACTTTGCAATCAAGTTAACTACAAGTATACAGGATGTGTCACAGAAGGGTGGCAAAGCAAAGTTATACTTTTTCAAATGGTATTCAAGTATACAGGGTGTCCCACGACGTTTCTCCCAGGAGTCCCAGGTGATAACTTCGGAACGCGTCATCCAATATAATTGAAATTTTGAGGATCTGGGTAACTTCTTGTGCCGCTTGTACCATTGTCATCCAATTTTACCATTTTTGCTTCAATTTCGGTCGAGTGACGTCAACTTTCGAATCTTAAATATAACTCATGGTATATTATGGTATTTTTCGTTAGAAAATTAAATTACAAAATCGGCTATGCCATATTTGTTGAGGCTTTGTTAAAGGATATGACAGAAAATTATACAGTGGAACATAGGATGATGCGTTCCGAAATGATCATTTGGGAGGAACCTCGTGGGACACACTGTATATTATTGACCTATTAGATTTTTTAATAAGTTGGAATTGTTACTAAATGGCATACCTGTTAATGCTTCTCTAGTGTTGACTGGAGACCTCAATATAAATTTCTTAGATAAATGTAACAGATATACCCTGTCTTGAAATTTTTCTTGCTCGTTCAACCTAACGATGCATGTTGATGTGCCAACTCGGTTTTCAGCCTTATCAGCTTCCACTGTTGATTATATCTCCACTAGCTTTAATAACGATGAAGTAAAATGTACAGTGCTAAATGCTGGGTTGTCTTATCATGAGGCCGTATGTTCTTTCCCAATTGACACAGAGGTGAAAAATAAAAACTTAAGGCTGGGAAGCCTTTTTACCGAGAGGAATTTTAGAAGATTTGTTTTTTTGTGTGACAGAGTAGACTGTTTTGTTTACTGATAATGCATTGGAAAGCTTTCATTTTGTCATTAATGATAACTCTAATTTGGCATTTCCTCTTGGTAAAATGAAAAAGAAAAAGAGTAGGCCTTGGTATACTACATGCGCTGCCTTCACTACATAAGGAAATTAATAATGCTATTTTATCAGATACTTTAATAAGTACCGTAGTATCTATAAAGGCTATTATTAACCTTGCCAAGAAGTCCTATCATAGGAATAGAATTCGTAATGCTTCCAATAAATCCTGGAAAATTATCATGACTTGTGTGGAAAGAGTAAAGTGTAACCCCTTTTGTTAATGAATTGACCAGAGGCCCATAATATGCTCGGTTTGCTCAGTAAAAAAATATTAGGTGTGGGTTGATAGTTTTTAATAAGTACAGAATGGCAAAGGCGCCACTGAATTTAAAAAAAAAATTAAAAATTGCATAAAACATGGAAGTGTGAAAATTCAGAAACACACCTAGAAAATAATTAGCAAACGGTAATAGGTAATTCTGAAAAAGAAATAAATAATGCACACAACTCCATTCTCGACCTATGAGTAAACTAATAAAACAATTAAGTAAAATTTCGAATTAAAATAGTGTATATTTCACAGTCAGTAAAAAAAAATAATAGTATAATAACAAATTGCACCTCAATATATTTGCCTTATAAGCTCATTAACAGTCGCTGGCCATATCATCAATTTGAAAGGAAAATATAAAGATTTAAGTTTCCAGGAAACTAATTAAAAAAAAAAAAATTGTTGAAAAATTCTATTGACAAATATGGTCAGCTTCTGCAAAAAAAAAAAGTCGATAAAATCAATTTGTACCTGAAAGAAATCAAAAGTTGGGCTATATAACCGTTAAATGGTCTGGAGCTATAATGGAAATCCTCAAATATTTCAGTCGTAGTACCCAGGGTTAAAAATTGATCAATTTTTGACGATATAGGTAGGTACCTCAGTAGGTATAGTATTTTCAATGCCCATTAGAATAACAAAAACGAACGTCGATTGCTAATATGTCAATGTCATGTACAAATAGGAAATTCCTAACCTAATTTTATTTGTGTCTTCAAGAAACGACATACGTCTAGTCACTAGAACAACTGGTACTTCTAAATAGGTATTAAAAATTCTATACTGTTTCAATAAGTTTGAGTTTAGAGCACGTTGAGTTTACAGCACCTTGACCAAAGTTCAGACTAATGATTAGGATTAATAAGAAAAGATGTAAGGCAATATTTAAATATAACGGTATTAAAAGTTGAGTAAAAGGTAATCTATAGTAAATGCAGCAAATCAAAAATCGAGAAACAATATAAGTTCACTAAAAAATATAACAGTTATCAACAAAACTCTATACAAGCCTCAATTCCAACAGAAAGGTAGATTACGGTAGTCGGTAGCCATCCAGTCTTTGGTCACTGGAAGTCCTAGATTCTAGCCTGGAAGATAGAGACTAGAAGTTCAGTTTTCTTCGTCAGAGGTAGGGGTACAGGAATCGACACGTGAAGGACTCAAGAGCCCTATGCCCAGAGATGGGGCTTGTTGAAAATGGATCCCTTGAGAAAAACAGCTTCTCGGAAAATACAGGTCCCCGGTAAAAATAGACCCACGGTAGAAATAAGCCTTCGGAAAAACCCACGTGGGTTTCGAAATTCAAACTTGAATAAAACGATGACACAAGACTTTTGACCTAAATTTTCTCGGTAATCAATGGACTATTGCCTTACGCAACGTTATTTCATTTAGATAACGCCTGAAGGCCGATAAGATACTTTTTCTACGAGAACGGTAATCGATAATTTATTTCGGAAGATGACTGGCCCCCGTAGCCACAGTCGAGCTCCCAGGGCAACGACCAGATAAGAAAAGGGACACTTCAATTTTCTCTTCCAGAATAAATAGTTTCACTTTAGAGTTTTGAAGAAAAACGCTGTCGACCCTAAAGTACTACGTTCGAAAACTATGAACGAGGTTAAAGAGCAACGAAGTACCAAGTCAAGTAGATCAAGATAGTAGGTTTAAAAGAAAGCGCCTATGTCCTCTCGAAGGCTTGAATTCACCGATAACATACATTCAGCCGGCAATAGATGCTGCCATATGGACTGAAAAATACAGGCTAACAATCTCAATAACTTTTACTTCTCTATTGGCACTAAATTATCCCATTTCAAATAAGATTTATCCTAGGGAATATTAAAGCCATATAT